TATCGTTCAAAATCACCCTTTCGCCTGTGTTTTAAAAATGTATTATCCGAAATAGGCGGTATTGGGAAGGAAAAAAAGTTGAACCTATGAACAATTGAAAACGTAACAAAAAAGGAGCATTTACGTCAACCCAGAAGTGTATTGACATTGGAAACTTGCGTCAACCAACGGCAATAAAAGATAAGCAAGAAGCGAAACAGTTCACATAGTAGAACAAAAACGTATTAATGTGCATAAAATATGCATCCCAGTAATGCATTCTTGCCTTGACTATGTTGGCCCCACCCGATGTGTTCCTACGCGAGCGTCTGATCACATTTTTGTATGAAGCGAAAGAGCTTCTAGTGCAAAGGTCTTAAATACAAGACAGTGTCATGGGAGAAGTGGCCTCAACCAATGGAAATATGTTGTTGTCTTTCTTTTCTCTGCATGCCAAATACATTCCAATTTTCATTGTTTAAATAACAAACGTCTTTTTATTTTACTTTTACTTTGTCATCTCCATTTTTACCTATTTCCTTTTCTTCGTTTTCTTTTTATTTATGTATAATCTTACTTTTTCTTCTTCATTTCTTTTTTCTCCTTTTCTTTTTCTTTTCTTTTTCATTTTATTTCTGTCTTCTTTTCTTTTTCTCTTTCATTTATTTTATTTTCCTTTTTTCCCTTTTTTTTTTTAAAAAAAAAGACGTCTTCACCTTCTCTTAAACCAGTCGTCGTTTTTATTTTAGTTTAATCTGCCTCTACTTCTTCTTCTGCCTCTCCTTATCTCCTTATATGGATGTGTGTGTTTGTGTACCTGTACGCGTACCTGTGTGCGTTTGCGTATGCTTCTGTGAATTCGTACAAAAGAGAGAAATTGGTGGTATGTCCAGTCTTTTTTAACATTTGAAAGGAAGTAAATAACGTCGTTTGGAATGGGAATAAAGTTATCCATTTGCAATTAATAAAGCTTCTTTTATAACTATGCCGATTATTTTTTTTCCAAAAGGTTTATGTGAAAATTGAAAGTAAATATCATTTAATTACTTGATAAAAACGCCGGGTATCGATTACGAGCGAATTTCGTTTGAGGCATTTTTAATCCACCTATCTCCCTCCCTCCATCCCTTCCGCCCTGTATATATATATATATATATATATATATATATATATATATATATATATATCAATAATATCAAAATTCAATAATATCAAAATCTGCTACTTTGTTTCATGTGATGCAATCATCAGGCAGAAATAATGAGAACAATCTTTTTCATGCTTCAACGTCTGAAGTCAGATAACTGTAATAAAATTATAAGGCTAATACAAAGTTAATTCTTTATATATATATCTTTATATAATTATATATATAAATCTTTATATATATAAACAACTCAGTAATCTTTAAAACTTTAAATATCTTAAGCATTCTCATATTTTATTAAATTTCAGGTTACATTGACTTTATAGTCTTACGAAGACGCTTGTTGAGGAAATTTTAGAAAATTATCAATAAATTTTAAGTTTACTATAGTTACCGCTTTTATTTTATGATAAAATATTGGGCGTCACTGAATTGTAGTAAGATTTTCCATTTATGATTAGTAAATACAGTTTTTTTTTTATAATTTGGTAACAATATTAATTGACCGGTACAAATTAATACGAAATCTTAAAATATTTAAAAGTTTATAAATTATTCTAATTAAAATTGTTAAAAAAATGAAAACAATACTTGTAAAAGTCCATTATTCACCGAAAAACTCTAGTGCAACCAGTGAGGATTGAACCCATTATAATAGTAATGTCTTTTTTTAAAAACTAGCTTTTATCTATCTACACATGGTGTTTCAGTCAACAATAACTGGCTGATATAAAATAGAAACAATTTACATTCCTCATTTATTGCTATAAATAATTTTGCATTAAAAATATACATTTATCGAGTTAGAATTATTATTATTATTATTTTAATAAAGTATTTTTCACCAGCTGAATCATTATTAAATGGTGAAGAGAATGTTATTTGTTTCGTTTAATATTCAGGAAGTATTGAACATAAAGAAAACAAATGCAAGAATAGTTGTTGATATTTTATAAGTATAATATATAATAATATTTGGCTCTGCCTTCATTTACCGTATCGTTAATTTTGGCTGGTGAGTGGATTATGTGTAATCATCAGCTACCCATATAGTACCATCTTGTGACATGTGAGGTGTTATAAGTGCCCAGATCACCAAAATACCACTACCGACCACCTAATTAGTGCACACAATGGCACATACGAAACTGGAAGCTGAACTGTTATATAAAATATATAATACTCTTCTATTTTGACATTGAACCGTTTGTCTTGGTGTGCTATTTTAATATATTCCTTCGGGAATTATTTTTTGCCTATCTATCTATCTATCTATCTATCTCGCTACACACACACACACACACACACACATATATATATATATATATATATATATATATATATATATATATATATATATATATATATATACAGACATGACAGAATTGAATAGACGCTCACAGAAACCGTTTATTTTATTAAACAAGTAATTTATACAAAAAAGTAATTATAAATGGTCATAAATTTAATAACTAATACTTGGTTGACATCCCTTTTGCTTTTTTAATGCAAGGACCCTTCTAGGCATGCTAGCGATGAGTTCACGAATATCATCTTGAGGGATTTATTGCCATGTTTGACGCAATAATCCTAAAAGTTCGGGCTTAGAAGATAGCTTTCTGTTCTTTTTGCGGAGTTTTCGATCTAATATGCTCCAAAGGTGTTCAATAGGGTTAATATCCAGGTACTGACTTAACCATGGAAGTTTATTGATCCCATTTTGTCTCAACCAATGTTGCGTTGCTTGAGCAGTGTGACATGGAGCTCCATCTTTCATAAATAGGGAGTCAACTTTACTCATTCTACTACTTGAGAATATTGCAAGGAGCCCTTACTTTAATATAGAGACATATTTGGTTGAATTAATGTTTCCTTCACACTCCACAAGCTCTGGGCAACCATCACTCCAAATTGCACCCCATACCATTTCTGAAAGGCCCCCATGTTTCACCGTTAGCTGCAGTCTTTTTAAATCAAACACTTGACTACAGAGTCTCCATACCCATACTCTTCCACTGTCGGAAAATAATGCGAATCTTGACTCATCAGAGAAAATGACAGAGGTTCAAAAGGTCACAGGTCTCTCCACCATCTCATGAGCCCAATCCTTTCTGCGTTTGATATTGGCTGGACGGAGAAGTGGTTTCTTTCTCGCAGCTCTGCCATAGTAGCCCAGCTTGTGAAGATGCCTGACAGCTCTTCTGGGACTGACATCAACTTGTGTTGCTATGTCAGAGGCCTTGCAATGTGGATCCTGTTCAACATTTCTTTCGACAAGACGCATGGTTCTTTCAGAGGGCCCAGGGCGGCCTGGATGAGGTTTTGTGCACTTCTTGTCTTCTCTGGTGAATTGTACGATCACTCTATTAACAGTAGAAAGGGGTATTGAAAGATTTTCAGATATTTTTCTTTTACTAAGACCACCTTCATTTTGGCCCACGATACGTCCTCGCTGAAATTCGGATAGGTCTGATGCTCTTTTGGTTTTGCATGTTCCAGTATTGTTATTTGCAATTTTAACCAAAAATCTAAGATCATTTTATCTTGGTTATTAAAAGAAATCAGAAATAAAATTTATCTTGGTGTCTATTCAATTCTGTCATGTCTGTGTATATATATATATATATATATATATAGAGAGAGAGAGAGATAAACCTAATGATCTTGTCTGGATCATTAGGTTTATCTCTCTCTCTCTCTCTCTCTCTCTCTCTCTGCCCAGATGCATTGTCAGAATGGTTTCACCTAAGCAGATCGTCAGGGAAAGCTTTCCCTGACGATCCGCTTAGGTGAAACCTGGGTAGGTTTATCTGGCTCACTAGGTTTATCTAGGTCTGCTCTACGGTTGGATTGAGCTCTTTTGTTAGTTAGTTGTTTACTCGTGTCGGGGTTTTTTCTTTGGGCTTTAAACCTGTATCTGTGCGATTTTTTTCGACAGACTTTCATGTTTCTAGCTCTTTCTTTTTTAAAACCTTTTTTTCCTTCGAAATTGATTTGATTATTGGCAAATCAAAAATTCGAAGGTTTTTCGAAACGAGTATAGTTACCTATATATATATATAATGAATTTTTTATTTTAATTCGACATTCTTCAAACGTTATTTTTAGTTTAGGATACACGTGTCTGAATAGATGTCCGTTTTTAGGGTTTTTTTTTCTTCTTTTTTTTTTTTGCATGTGCTGACCTGTACGCTCGAGAAAACGTACATTCCTTAAAAGAGTAAATAAAACCTCGCTGGCCTATGATGCTCTCCGTAGCCGATCGCTCTAAAACACGACGGATCAGACGGTGGTTTCTCTACAAAGGAGGACCTGCATTCGCACCCTACCATTGAACACATATTATTTATTACATTTTCCAAAGTGCAAAGACTAGTAAACATAATACACACTCTGAGTAGCCACTAAAATAACTTTTGAAGTAATATATACATATATATGTGTGTGTGTGTGTGGAGAGAGAGGGTGAAAGGCTGCTGAGAAAGAGAATTAATGATATATATGTATGTGTGTATGTGTGTGTGTTTACATACACACACACACATATATGTATAATCGGTCTGATGAGGCAGATATATATATATATAACTATTGATTATATGATGACTAAGTGTTTTCCTTATTATTTATTTATTTGTATTGATCTGTATATAAATTTACAAATTTATACATTGAGCTCTCATCATGGAGTTAATTTTTTAATATTTTTATATTAAAAAGACCTCACTGAAATAATCCCTACCACCTACGGATTTGGTATTATTCATGTATATATATATATATATACGCGCGCGCACACACACACACACACACACACACACACACACGATGTATCATTTTAATAAAGTTTTTTCTTTGATATTTTTCAGCTGCCATGGAATATTTTCTTCCACTTGTGATTGCTTCTCTTTTGCTTGTGAATTGTCGTGAAGCATCAGCCACCAACGACCGCTGTCCGAAATCATGCGTCTGTATGGCCAGCTTTGTTTCCTGCTCAAACCTCACACATTTCCCGGTTATCCTGCCCATCGAGACGCGAACGATCACTTTATCTGAAGTTAAAATTCCTGAAATTCAGACTGATATCATTTCCAACTTGCCTGAAATAAAGTCTCTTAGTTTTGAGAACTGCACAATCGGCAAAATACGAAGTGGAGCCTTCAGGAATCTCACCAATCTACAAAAGATTTCTTTTTCTTTGTGTTCTATTCGATTAATCGAGACGGACGCCTTCCATCAGATCCGTAACGCGTCCACTATGCTGTTTTACAAAATGACAATTGAACGTATAGAGACACACGCCTTCAGCAATATCCGAGGACTTAAAGAATGGACTCTATTTAAGTCGAATATTGGTGAAATCGAAGCGGAAGCTTTTCACCAATTTTCTTACATCTATTCCTTTTCGATTTATTCCAATCGCATCGGTCGGCTCGGAAGGGCCGTTTTTTCATCCATGGGAAATATCAAATACGTCGACTTTTTCATGAATAAAGTGACCGATGTTGGTTGCAATGTTTTTGACTTTTCCACTAATGAATTTGAGAATTTTGAATTCTATGCCAACATATTTTCGTGCGATTGCAAGCTTTTTGGTTTGTCTCGTGGACGGCAGGCCATCAATTTTTCTTCCTCATCAGCCAAAAGAGATTCGCCGACTACGAACAAGGTGACACCGACGAAAAGGTCGGCCGGTTTAATAGACTCACATATGAACACTGTATCTGCAAAAAAGTGGTCGTTTGACGAACTTCTCTACCGCAACTGGTGTATGTTCAAAAATCTTAAGCATAAAGTTTCCTTGGATAATTACCGCTACACGGAGGAAGTTGAGTGCGAAACAAACGCCTGTTTTCCATTGAAATCCAAAAAGAAGGATAAAACAATCAACTCTAAATATCTATATACTTTCACTTCTCTTCCGGAAGTTCCAGTTTCTCCGCGCCATGGGAATACCAATGATGCGAACAGACGACAATCGGCATTTGGGATCTTGTTGCTATCTACAACCATTCTGACAATGCATCTCTAAAAACAGAGACCAACATAAAGAATTACCACAGAATTAGAATGAAATGTTGCTCAGACTGACTCGAATTTGTTCCAATCTTCTAAATGTTTTAATCTCAAATTTTCCTTTCAGAAATTATCACCGTTACTAAGACATAAAAGAATGAATGTTTTTTTATAAAAATCAAATTTGCTTTTAATGACAAAAAATAGTTTCTGATTTCAGGCTTAACAACATCAGTACAGTTGTCACGACAGTTAAGCATCATTCTACCTGGTTAGTGCTAAATGAGTAATCTCTGAAAACTCCCAGGTACTCTGAATTTAAATGACTGGCTTGAAAGCAGAATAAAATACTTTTTATTTAAGGAATAAGGTTAATACTTCTAAAATATTACGTATACAAAAGTAAAAATTATTCGACTGTAAAAAGTAGGAGACTAGTGTTTCTTATTTCTTTATTAAAGGTGATTTTAGTAGTAGAATGTGTATTTATCCCTGTCGACTATCAAAGCCTTTCCATAGTGGCCATGTTTATCTTTGTTGTTTGATTTTAGGTCAATATCTACTTTGGAGAAGCTACGGATTGATCAACAAAAATATCTTATCATTAGCTCTTTTAAGTAAGGATTCGTGTATTTTCGCAAAATTTATAAGTTTTCAAATATTTGATTTCTGCAAATTTCCTAAAATAAACAAAAAATATTTCTCTGCGTTTCACTACTTTAAAAGGACGACGCCAGTTTAATTATTACATTGACATTCCTTTAACAATTTTCGTATAAATATCTTCAGTCAAGATTCTGTAGTTATTGAACATTTTTTTTTCTGATTTTGATCTTCATCTTGGTTGTTTTTATCACAACATTTCGGCGTCTTTTACTTTCAGGCTCTTTTTAGAGGTTTGTCATATCTAGTAACCATCAGAGAAAATTGAAGGGAGCTCTTTATTTCTTTCTGAGAGTAAGTTCTCATTCTTGATTCTGGCAGTGTTCCTAAAAATGATTAAGATTTCTACGTGTTCGAATATATTGGACTTGTGCTTTAAAAGCATTGGGTTCATTCCCTGTATAGGTGTGCATCAGTCCAGTCAAAAAATCAGAGAATCGACACAGGGAGAATGGTTGCAATGGTGTATGCTGACTACGCCTGCCTCAAGTTATATTTTGCAATGGAAATGTTAATAATTCTCATCTACCATCACCAAAGCGGATTAACTTCTTCTGCCAAAGCGACGTGACTAAAACAATTACGATGATATTAGTTCGAATAACTCATAAAATAATTAGAAGAATGATTTCCTCAGATTTTCAAGCAATACTAAGAAGGCCGAAGATTGTATCGGCCAAAACGTAGTAATAAAA